ATGGCCGGGATGAGGCCGTAATCCAAGCCGACAACCACGTTTGGGAGATTTACTATCTCAAGCATGGAGGATTTGCGATTCACAACGCTCAGGTCAAAATTAATTCGAGCCGGAGACTCATATTGTGAGCTTCATTATCTAGATCATGTCCTCAATGTAAATCTATGGTACTGAGATCTTTATATAGTATTATTCTTTCATTTTTCAGATCTCGTTTATGTTTAGATCATGTTTCGGAATGGAGCGACTATGTGCTAATATGCCCACCAGCAATGGTAGATGTCACAAGTTGCCTGGAGAAACTCATCGGTGGAATGGAGTGACTACGTGAGCGTACTTAAATTACTTTGGATAGTTTGATTTTTTCCTGAAATTTTCTTCTAAATTGATTTTCCATCTTCATTGATATGACGCCTTTTTTGTGCTTAGATAGAATGAACCTAAATACTTTGTATGTTATTCATTCGTTTACTTTTAATTATACTTAATATTAATGGAAGATAGTTATGCATAACCTAAAAAACATTTTGATTTTCTGTATATACACCATTTGATTCGTTTATTCTGATATTTGAATTTGAATGATGTACTTTCTCTATTTTACCAATAACATAGGTGGTTGTTAATGCTAGAATGGTTGAGTACTATGAGATCTCTGGTTGTTACATTATGTGGTCATAGTCTTTGTTAGTTTATTCGCGTATAATTCACATATAATACACTCAAACGTATAATTCGCGTATAATACTCCCGTTTATGATTTTTTCAGAAAATACTGAAAAATTCACGTACTTTAAAGATAAAATGTATAATACACGTACCGTACGTATTGTTACGTATTTTATTAAAGAAACACCATTAAACTGAAGCCTAACGGAGTGGTACAACTGAAGCAAAATGCCTAGTTGCTCAATACTATTTATATTGCTTAAAAATTATTGTCTTATATGTTCATTAATTGTTTAATAGTCATAAGATTTAATAAATTAGCTTCTTAATGTCATAACTCGTTTCAATATTACTATTGGACTACTATTGTGTTACTCTTGTTATCTACTCATACAAAGACTCCAAAGAGAAAAGATTATTATGGCGGCTCACCAAATTTACGGCCACAGTAATTAAACTATTCTCTAGAAATATCTATCTATTTCTACATAAATAGGAAATATCATTTTTATTACTTATTGTACCTATGAATTGAAATTTTATATCTGGAAAAACTATTCCGTACATTTTAAATTGTTGAAGAATGTGGTGCATATGCTAAATTACTCTTTACTCTCATCATTAAATTAGTCTATAAGACATGTATTTTATGCCATATTTTTAAATTATGAAATGTTTAAAACACGTTCGTATCTTTATTCATATCACGGACGTATGAAACATATATTTAGCCATATTTTATATAATTGTATCGTATTATACACGAACGTACGTATTATTGTATTATTCACGAACCATATATTACTAACAAAGGTCATGGTCATGGGCAATGTCAATCTGGTTGTTACTTGATAGCTTCTGATCCTGTCTTTTTCATTTCAAAAGTTGTTGTAATTTATAGGAATTGGTTCATTGTATCTAATCCAGAAGTTGTTCCGTTCGTCTTAATCTTATTACTTATTCCTTAATCTTATTTTATTCATATCAGATCAGATCAGAAAGATTCAGATCAGATCAGATCAGAAAGATTCAGATCAGATCAGATCAGATCAGATCAGAAACATTCAGATCATATCAGAAAGATTCAGATCAGATCAGCAACATTCAGATCAGATCAGAAAGATTCAGACGAGATCAGACCAGATCAGAAACATTCAGATCAGATCAGAAACATTCAGATCAGATCAGATCAGATCAAAAAATTCAAACATGATTTATCACTTTTATTAATATATTAATTATGATTATTATATTATAATTATTGTTAATAATATTAATATATTAATATAATAATATTATTAATAATATAATAATAATAATGTTAATAATATAAAATTATTATTATAATATAATATAATATAATATAATATAATATAATATAATATAATATAATATAATATAATATAATATAATATAATATAATATAATATAATATAATATAATATAATATAATATAATATAATATAATATAATATAATATAATATAATATAATATAATATAATATAATATAATATAATATAATATAATATAATATAATATAATATAATATAATATAATATAATATAATATAATATAATATAATATAATATAATATAATATAATATAATATAATATAATATAATATAATATAATATAATATAATATAATATAATATAATATAATATAATATAATATAATATAATATAATATAATATAATATAATATAATATAATATAATATAATATAATATAATATAATATAATATAATATAATATAATATAATATAATATAATATAATATAATATATTTAAAATTATAATTATAATTATGATTTACAATGTAATTATAATTATAATCATCATTATTATTAATATGATTGTTGTTCTTGTTGTTATTGTTGTAATTATTATTACTTCGGAGTAATTATATATTTAAATTAGTAATTATAGATATAATTATGATTATAGAAATAAATATTATAATTATAATTACAATAATAATTATAAAATTAATCATAATTAAAAATATAATTACATTTATAATTGTATCTGTACTTATAATTAGTGTAATTAGTATAATTATTATAATTTTAAATTTAATTTTAATTATTTTTTTTATAATTATGATTATAATTGTAATTTTATTTAAGTTATATATTTAATTACAATTATAAATCTAATAATTATAATTATAATTACAATTATAGAAATATTCAAATCAGATCAGAAAGATTCAGATCAGAAGAATTCAGATCAGATCAGAAACTTTCAGATCAGATCAGAAACATTCAGATCAGATCAGATCAGATCAGATCAGCAACATTCAGATCAGTTCAGCAACATTCAGATCAGATCAGAAAGATTCAGATCAGATCAGAAAGATTCAGATCAGATCGGATCAGATCAGAAAGATTCAGATCAGATCAGATCAGATCAGAAAAATTCAGATCAGATCAGAACTTAAAAAATTCAGATCAGAAACATTCAGATCAGGTGAACGGAACAGCTTCTTAGTATTGTAATATTTTATACATGCAGACTTTTTACACTGAAATTAAGAAATTGAGCATACAAAAACTATTATTTTTCACTTTTTCAAACTCCTGCTGCTCTACGGAAAAAATGACCACATAGAGAGGGTTTTGCACTAGAGGTAAGAAACTGTTCCGTTCGTCTTAATCTTATTACTTATTCCTTAATCTTATTTTATTCAGATCAGATCAGATAAGATCAGAAAGATTCAGATCAGATCAGATCAGAAAGATTCAGATCAGATCAGAAACATTCAGATCAGATCAGAACGATTCAGATCAGATCAGCAACATTCAGATCAGATCAGAAACATTCAGATCAGATCAGATCAGATCAAAAAAATCAAACATGATTTATCACTTTTATTATTATATTAATTATTAATTATGATTATTATATTATAGTTATTGTTAATAATATTACTCCCTCCGGTTCTAAATAAACTTCACACTTTCCTTTTTGGGACGGTCCAAAATAAACTTCACATTTCCTTATTTCCTTATTTGGCAAAGAAATTTACATCAAAACAGTGTTAAACAGTGTTAAACAGTGCCAAACAGTGTTTCAACAGTGCCAAACAGTGTCTCAACAGTGTACTCTACAGTAAAGTCAACTTTATTTTCTTAATAACTGTGAAGTCAAACACTGAAGTTTAAAAAGAACCGGAGGGAGTAATATATTAATATAATAATAATGTTAATAATATAAAATTATTATTATATTATAATAATATAATATAATATAATATAATATAATATAATATAATATAATATAATATAATATAATATAATATAATATAATATAATATAATATAATATAATATAATATAATATAATATAATATAATATAATATAATATAATATAATATAATATAATATAATATAATATAATATAATATAATATAATATAATATAATATAATATAATATAATATAATATAATATAATATAATATAATATAATATAATATAATATAATATAATATAATATAATATAATATAATATAATATAATATAATATAATATAATATAATATAATATAATATAATATAATATAATATAATATAATATAATATAATATAATATAATATAATATAATATAATATAATATAATATAATATATTTATAATTATAATTATGATTTACAATGTAATTATAATTATAATCATCATTATTATTAATATGATTGTTGTTCTTGTTGTTATTTTTGTAATTATTATTACTTCGGAGTAATTATATATTTAAATTAGTAATTATAGATATAATTATGATTATAGAGATAAATATTATAATTATAATTACAAAAATAATAATTATAAAATTAATCATAATTAAAAATATAATTACATTTATAATTGTATCTGTATTTATAATTAGTGTAATTGGTATAATTATTATAATTTTAAATTTAATTTTAATTATTATTTTTTTATAATTATGATTATAATTGTAATTTTATTTAAGTTATATTTTTAATTACAATTATAAATCTAATAATTATAATTATAATTACAATTAAAGAAATATTCAAATCAGATCAGAAAGATTCAGATCAGAAGAATTCAGATCAGATCAGAAACATTCAGATCAGATCAGAAACATTCAGATCAGATCAGATCAGATCAGCAACATTCAGATCAGTTCAGCAACGTTCAGATCAGATCAGAAAGATTCAGATCAGATCAGAAAGATTCAGATCAGATCAGATCAGATCAGAAAAATTCAGATCAGATCGGATCAGAAAAATTCAGATCAGATCAGATCAGAACTTAAAAAATTCAGATCAGGTGAACGGAACAGCTTCTAAGTCTGTTTTTTGGAAGGTATGCAACAACTTAAGAAGAGTACTAACAGTGAAAATGTCAATTCTGAACTCTTGATTTACCTCTCAAATTAAACTGGTGGTGCAATATTGTTGGTTGGGAATTTAGCCATCCGATCCACTCCTGTTATATCAGGTGTTTTTTAAAAGCATTTTGAAGTCTTATTTAAGGAATATAGAACTGTTTTGGTAAACATTTTACTCTGGTAGTTCATCCGTTTTTTCTCTTTTCTGTTCATTATCACACTAATTACTTTCTTCCCGACAAATCTCTGAATAGACTGTGTCTATCAATGGATACCCATGCTTCTATTGACCCGACCAGTGGGTATTGCTCTGAAACCAAAACATTCCACAGCCTCCTTGCCGGCCGCCGGTCTCCTTGCCGGCCGCCTCCGGTCAGCCTCTTTCCGTTGCCCAATACACCTACTCCCTGCTTCGTTTGCCCGAAACGGCCGCTTCGGAGTCCATCCTTATTGACGCCTCCACAGGCCAGAGGCTTTCTTACTCTGATTTCCTCCGCCAGACCCGATCGCTCGCCAGCTCTAATGCTCTATTCAGTCAGGTCATCTATACATCTTGATAAATGGAATGTCTTTAAGAGTCACCTCTCCTCATGATAGACATTATGTTCTGTTTAGATAACATAGTCCTTTACTTAAATGTCTAAGAAAAGTTTTTTTTGTAACGGGGAGACAAAACAATATGATTCGCTGATCCTGTAGCAGGTTTAATTGAGCCAAACGTGGCCAGAGCAAAAACCCCATCACCTCCACCTAATGTAAGAGTCTGACAGAAATAAAAATTGCAAGAGACAACAACGATAGTATTCATGACTAAGAAACTCAACAAGGGTAAAACGAAAATAAATAAAATTAACTGACAGAGCAACTGGATCCATGCTTCAACCATCATCCTCGGCGGTGGCTCAGGAGGGGGACGAGCCATGAAACCTGCATCTTGAAAACTTCCTTGCAAGCCCATCTTTACAAATTCCAATGGCATCCTCTTTGCTCGCGAGCAAAAGCAGCGATCCAAATCTGCCCGAGCCCTGCTACCCTCTCCTCGCCGAAACTCTTGTGGGGCGAAACTCCGAGCCAAGGAACCATGGTGAAGTCGAATCCCTCCCCCTGCCGAACAAGGAAGCAGCACATGGCAGACCTCCCCAAAGTGAGACCTGCTCCCTTCCTAAGCCAAGTCCAAATCCGGAGACCGAGCCCTGCCTCCCTGTTTGAGTCAGACAATCCAAGAGAGAAGCGAAGAAAACAAAGCCGCACTAGGACGGCAATCCAGTGCTCGTACTTTGGCGAGAAAACCTAACTCGCACTTATCTAAGAAAAGCTTGATCACTTGGATTTTGTTTGCATATTCTTGTGGATATAATTTGGTGCATCGGTTCTTTTTTCTTACTTATTTTTTTGTCTTACTTGGATTATGGTGATTATGTTCTTATTGGAGGTGCAAAAAAAGTGCATCGAGATGCTAATAGGAGTTAGATCGAGGATCAACGAGGAAAATCAAGACAAGAGACTAAATTATGAAGAAATGTGTAGATGCATAAGAAGAAGAAACAAACAAGAAATAGAGTCAAAATAATGTTGTATATGTACTGAATTGAAGCAACAGATGAAATTACATATCTATTGTGATAAATCTATATGTTGGTTTTTTTGTTTCATTTTGTTGTACGGTATGTGTTGCTTTTTCTTGCAGCATATTGTTTTTTGTTGCAGCATGTTGCTTTTTGTTGTAACATGTTACTTAATGTTATTTATAATTGATTTTAATTTTTTATCATATATTTATATTTTTAATTACCGTACAAAGTAATGTATAGACTTATATGCAATAATCTAAAGTGATAAATTTGAATTTATGAGTACCAATTATAGCAAGAAACCTAAAGAAACAATAAAAAATCAAAATTTCAAAGTTATAAACAAAAATAAACACAAAAAAACAATAGGAAACAAAAGTTAGCATTAAAATGATCATCATAATTATTAGATTATGTAACCATTTTAAAAGTATTGAGTTACAAAAATCACATTTTTTACTTTTTCAAAATATTCAGGTATATTTTTTTTACATTTTGTTTTCATTTTTCACATTTTGTATTTTTCTGATTTGTACATTTTTTTATTTTATTTTATTTTCTAAAATGTTTTTGGTTTTTATTTTATAAGATTTTTTATGATTTTTTGAATATTTTCAAAATTATATATATATATATATATATATATATATATATATATATATATATATATTAGAATTCCTTAGATTGTTTAGTGTTTATATATTTTGGCTTTTTAAAAAAAACATAGTCTTTTAATAAATACTCCGTAAAAAATAGAAATATGTGTATAGTTTAATTCTAAATGATACAAACACTTAAAATATTAAATTTTGATTTATGAATATAAAAAGAAAACTGAAATACAAAGAAACAATAAGAAACATAATTTTCAGAATGATCAACAAAAAGAAACAAAAAAAAAACCATAAGAAACAAAAACTAATATTAAAATGACAATACTACGGAGTAATAATTAAAATTTTAAGTACTTTAAGAACCATTACATTATAAAATTCCTACTTCTTACCTTTTTTGAATATGTAATCATTTCTCACGTTCATCATTTTAACTTTTCATATTTTATTTCTCTGAGATTATTTTAATTTCACACACTTTTTAAGTTGGATTAATTTTCGTATTAGAATTCGTATATTATTATATTAGAAAATTTGTATTCTTTATTTTTCAAACTTTTTACTTTTTTGCGTAGAATTTATTGTTTTAATTTTTTTCATTTTTTATTCTCTAATTTATTTTAATATTACACTCTTTTAGGTTACAATAGTTTTCTAACTTTTATATTCCTATATAATATTTTTTATATTATTTTCATTTTTACATTTTTATTTCTTAGTTCTTATTTTTATACTTTTTTTACTTTCTGTTTTTTATTGTAAATTTATTTTCGGTTTTTATTTTATAAATGAGTTTTTTGAATTTTATAAATTTATATATTTATAACATTTCTTAGCTTTTTAGTTTTTATATATTTTAGATTTTTTTTATAAAAGTACTCTTTTTGTATAAAAAAAACTCTAAATGCTTTTCATATTTTTAAAAAATAGTTTCAGAACATTTTATCTTATTTTACATATTTTGTCCATAACATTTAGGTTTTCAGAATTTCAATATTTCACACACTTTATAGTTTACAATATTGTTCTTATTTTAAATTTTTCTGCATGACATATTCTTTTTTTATTTTACTTTAAAAATTTATATGATTTTTTGAATGTTTTAAAATTGATGTGTTTATTTGAATTTGAAAGATTTTTACTATTTCATATTTTCCGATTTGAAAATCTACTCTTTCATAGAAAAATTAATTACTTTTCATATTTTTAATAGTCTCAGAATTTATTTTAATCTTATTTTACATTTTAATAGTTTTTTTAATTCAACTTATACGGAGTAGGTTCAATTCGCTTTTTTATTACAACTTTTTTTTTTGAATTCATTTACTTTGAGTTTTCTTTAGTTTCTCATATTTTTTAAGACTTTAATTATCTTTACAATGATTTACTTCATTTGACGTTTTAATAAATAATTGCGTTTTTATTTTATTTTGAAAAACTAAAAACGAATAATTCCTAGAACTTGTATTAAGTACTTCTATTACATGAAGAGAAGTTCATGAAGCTAGGAGTAGAGACATGCTCATCAATAGGGAGTTGCTACACGGAACTTAGCTCAGGAGCAGATACGAACTTTGCCACTTTGGCCTATTTGTGAAAGAAAAAATGTAAGTAGTCTATTTTTGATAAAAACTTCAGTGAGTGACAAAAGTGATATATTTTTCTTAAGAATTTACTGGGACGGCTCAAAAAGAAAGGTTTGAATAATTTATCGAGATGGAGGGATTGTTTACCTATAGTATTTGGCGTTAGAGCATCTATAATGCAAACATTTGAATGTCCATTCATGATATGAGAGACAAATGCATATAAATTCCTCTGCAGTACATACATCTTTCTTATATCTTAATCAACGATATATGATGTTTTTATTCGGACTAAAATTTTCTAGTCTGATCTGGTATGGTATGATCTGGTCTGAACTGCTCCGGTCAACGTCTGACTTTGTGTAATTTTTAATTATTCAAGTCTGATCTAATCTGGTGTGCTAATGAAAATAGTATAGTAAAAACATCCTTATCCGTATATTTTTAGTAACTTTTTGCACAAAGCTAAGTAACACGTCTCCCTATACACGATAATGTCTTTGAAAGAAAAACTTCAAACTATATAAATTTAATCAATAATTTGGAGTTACAGCTAGCCAAAAATTCAAAAGCCACCAACTATTTTCTAAAAACTCCATCTAAATTCAAGAATAGTCTTACAATCAGACACTAACCCCCTGTATGGTTGCAAAATTTAGGAAGAAAGAAAAGAGTAGTTATTTGAAGTTTAATACTAAAAAATTCAGATAAATTAATAAAATAAAAAAACAATCCTCCCCTACCCTCCCCTCCGAAATCCCCCAACCATACTGACCCTAAGACGATCACCTCTAAGAAGCAACATAAATTGATGATCATCAAAAGGACACCATAAAGTTCTTTCTAACCATTAAGGTCACCCGTCACCGTAATCTTTACCACTTCAATAAACTCAAAATGGCTGAAAAATTCCCTTAATCCTTGATCAAACGTAGAAACGTGATTGACAATGTTTATAAAATATAATCTCAAAGTCCGCTTTTGTAAATCACACTTTTAGTTCAAAAAAAATGAACGCTTTATTAAATTGAACTCCTTTAAACTTTGTAATTTATCACCTGATCATTTTATATATTACTTCAAACTCTTTACTTTTTATGAACTCGTATTACTTTTTCTTTAATTTTTGGAGGTCAGAATCGTAAATCAATGATTTTATCTTTTATTTTTTCTAAACTAGTATAAAATACACATGCATGTATCTTACACGGAATGAGTGAATGACTAACTAAAAACCTGAGGACAGTGGAAAGAAAGATAAATAAAGTTTATTTATCTTTTGCGCCATAGGCGCACTTCACTCTGCGTCTAAAATGTACAACAAACAATAACTCTACTTTTACAAATAAAATTTATCGCAATACAACTTTGTTTGGGATTACAACCTTATTTCTAGGGATAGATCCGTAGATGATACACAACCTCCAGCAGGGGTGTGTTCGATTCTTGCGGTTCGATTTTGACCTAAAACCAAATAAAGAATCAAAGTAAAAAGTTCGGTTCGGTTTCGGTTTTACACTCCAAAACTTGGAACCACGGTTTGATTGTTTCGGTTCGGTTTCGGTTTTTTCAGGTTTTTACCAAAAAAAATTATCATTTGATTCAAAATTGATATAATACTTAGAGGGATCAAACATATTACATAAAGAATGCAAGCACAATACAACGACAAATAAAATAAAAATGAGAAGAGATAAATATGTTTTGAATTATATGAGTATGCGAAATAGATAAAACTATATATATAATAGATTTAATTTGTTTGTGAGTAGTTCGAAAAAAGTTCATGAATATATACATTCTATACTTCTATGTGATATAGTTGAAATGAATATTTATTGTTTTATCAATTTAAAATCTTTAAGTTATCTAAAAAAAGTTAATTACTACTAATAACTAGTAAACACATATTATCATCATTCAATATAGCTACATTATTACAGACAATGAATGTGTAACCAAATTTATAAACTAAATTAAATTAAACATAACACAAACATTATTTCTCTAACACAAGAAAACCAAACACTATTGATGATATTAGGATTAATTAAAATTAATGCTTAACAATTAAATTATAAATTTCATATTTTAAATAGTTCGGTTTGTTCAGTTCGGTTTTGAAGGGTAAAAACCAAAACCGAACCAAACAACTTCGGTTCAGTTTTTTTACATTCAGTTTCGGTTTCTTAGCGGTTCGGTTTTATTTGGTTGCGGTTCGATTTAATTTGATTCGGTTTTCGGTTTTTCGGACCCAGCCCTAACCTACAGCTTAAAAAAATATTTACATGTAACTTAAAGCTGGAAGCTGAAAGATACGAAATGAGCTGCTCTTAGTAATAAAATTTTACAAACAATTGAGAAGCTATTTATGAAATACAAAAGGAAAATTTTTGTAGGAAAAAGTTTAGAAAATAAAAAGATGTGTTAAAATGTAGTCATACGGATAGGAAACTGCACAGCTTGTGCAAAAGAGGCCGACAACATCAAGGCAGGAACTAGGTTAGAAACCAACTACGTAGTATGAAACTATAGTAATATTATAATATATTGAACTTGAAAGTTGAAACACTTAAAGACTGCTCAGTATTAGGTACTTTTACAAAAGGAATGTATATAACACCACCAGGCACCAGGCCAATGAACTTATTACTCCGTATTATTTATTTATTAAATGATATCATAATAAAACTCAATCACCAGCGTAGTCCTGCAAAACCGACTAATGTATTAGTAGGAATAGCATCACATGACCAATCAAACAAATTAGGCAGAAATACACATGTTCACATTAAAGAATAATACAATACAATACAATACAATACATACACACAATATTAATCCCCAACAGACCATAGCTAGGCGAGAACAGACCAAAGTAGTTCAAACCGGAACAGAACAAAAAAATCCAAAACAAACGAACATGTCGTCAATATAGCAATGGGGACAGATATATAAGGCACCTCAAAGTATGAACGTTTGAGATATAGTGTCATAAGAAAATTAGATCTAGTTTGGTAGTATAAGTAGTAACTTTTGACAAGTTAACTTATTTGACTAACAATCTAACATGGATCTCAAAGGGCTTCTTCTCCACGGATTCAGCAACTTCATCTGAATAAACCCTTGCCAAATGGGCCCTTAGTGATTTGCACACACATACT